ATCTAAGACACTTGAAGGCATTTTCTCCAATACAACATTTCCAATCAAGACCACCATACACCTATGTTTCCAAGCATGTGAACCATTGGATTTTCAACTTGCATTGGGATGGTTACCGAGTCAACTACCTAACTAACTGAGTTAACCTCCAACTCAGTGAGTTGAGCCTAACTAACTCCAAGGCTAGTTCCGAGGCTACATCCAAAGCTCACTCCGAACCTAGCAACTCCAAAGCAAAACTCTATATAAGCAAATCACCACCATTTCACAAGGGGGCTTGAACAATTTTCAATCATTCTTCTCAATTTCTCCATTGATCATTCTCAATGCTCTCACATTCTCTCTGAATTTTCTGCAACATTTTCACATTCATCTTCATCTTCTCTCACAAACCCTCCTAAAAGCTCAATTTCCACCATTGGAGGGTAACAATCTTCACATTGAAATTATTATTCTCTTGAGCTAAACCTCATTCCACCATATTCTTACTTGGATTTCTGGATTTATGGTTGATTCTTCTCTAATTCAAGTAATCATCTCAAGCTTCTTTGGTGCAAATCGGTATTCAGAGCATTTCTTGTGTTTTTATCGGTTTCGCTACGGTTGGATCTCAAGCTTGGAATTCTCTGGGTTTCTTTGCTTCTTCTCATCATATATAAATAAAAACAACATCCAGGGCAAATCTCAGCCTTGTAGGTTGGTTATCTTTCACTTGATTTACCGTTTCAATCTATTTCGCGTGTTTACGATATAGTTCAATCGTTTCTCGGTTTCGCTTAACCATGTGATTCTTGATCTTTACTCTGCATGTTTAATGCTTTCCATGAATGATTAATTGATGTTTAAGTGCTTTTAAACTTCATTTTTCGTGCACAAACGTCAAGCATAGCATGTGGATGATTGGGGAAATCTATTGGTTGTAAAAAGTGATTTTCAAAAAGCTATTTTTGCCATTGTTACAGTGGTAACCGGTTACTCTATATAGGGTAACCGGTTACTCAAAGGCAGAATGTCATTTTTTGCCCGTTTTCAAGCTCGTTTGCTATTCTTTCCTCATATAATTTTCATGACTCGATATGCTTAATATTTGTGGATGTTTTATGAGCAATTCACCTATTCTTTGAAGCATCTATGCAATATTTCAATATGTGATTTGTCAATTCTCGATTATGTGCATTTTAGACACTTTGATCATGATCATTCTTACATATTTCTTTGATCACTTTCTACATGGTTTGTGATACTTGCTAATTGTTTTGGTATTGTTTTTCACTTTTATTCATGTTTAAATTGAGTTTGTTCCTCTTTATAATGAATTCAATCTTGTATAATCAATAAATCACTCTTTTGCATTAATGGTTTTTCATCCCTTTGGAAAATTATTAGCATATTTACCTTTTGATTGATAAATCAAAACTGCATTTCGATTAATCGATCCTTCTCTCTTTCTTATACTTTGAATCTTTTAGACTTTGTCCTCCTTATCTTTTCCCCTGTGGAGTTGAAGGTTCACAACACATTGGAGCACACTACAAATTTTGCGCCGTTGTGCTACCCGTTTCGATTCTTGCACCACACTTTGGTGTTAGAGAAAGAATGAGAATGGATAATTTCTACACTCATTTTGACTATTTTGGGTAGGGGACGAATGACCATGTGCCTGGAATAGTCGCCTCTATCTCCTTACTGTGGTATCCCTGCTCTCTCCAGTCAAGTTGATCCTTGATCACTTACACCCTTATCTCCTCTTTGGAAGTAGCTTCTTTCTTTCAAGCCAACACTCTTTTCTCTCTCTCTCTCTCTCTCTCTCTCTCTCTCTCTCTCTCTCTCTCTCTCTCTCTCTCTCTCTCTCTCTCTCTCTCTCTCTCTCTCGACCAATCACCATTCTTGGTTTCCCCAGAGATTTGTAATCACTATTTTCCTTGGTTGATCAACTGTACTTCAGTTTAAACATAATTCCCTTCTTCCTCAGCTAAGTCAATCTTTCTTCTCTGGTTTACACAGTCTTCCTGTTCTAACTTATTCCCCACCAGAGTTTGCAACCTTCTCTTGATTCTTTCTTCTTCTTGTTTGGGTCATCACTATTTAGCAGTCAAGCACTAAATCCTCTTTTCTCCAGTTAATCATAGTATGTCTGTTAATAGTGAGTTTTTCTCTGGGTTAATCACCTTCTTCCGGCTAATCACCCTATCTTTGGTTGATCATGGTCCGCCCATTAAAACCAGTTTTTCTTTGGGTTAATTGCCTTCTTCCAGCTAATCACCCGATATTTGGTTGATCACTGTTCGCCCGTTAAAGCCAGCTTTTTCTTTGGGTTAATCACCCGCCTTTTGGTCAATCACAATCCGCCTGTTTGAACCAACAACCCTTTTCCTCAGTTAACCACAGTCCGTTTGTTAAGATACTGAGTTTCTTTTGAGTTAATAACCTTCTCTTGGTTAATCACTCTTTCTTTTCAATTAATCACAGTTCATATGTTAAGCACCGAACCCCCGCAGTTAGCAACCTTCCTTTGGTTAAAACACTGCCAGTTTTGGATTAGTAACATTTATTCGGTTCGAATACCCTTTCCTTTGGTCAAGTATTGTTTTCTCAGTCAATGTACCGTTCTTTGGGTCACAACCTTTGCTTGGTTCCACACCCGTCTCTTGGTTGATCACAGTTTATCGGTTAAAACCAGTTCCTTCCTCTTTCCAGTTAACCACTGTTTATCAGTTAATATACCAATTTCCACTCCGAGTCAAACACCTTTCTTTGGTTCAATACTTTCTTTCTTTTGTTTTGTCACAGTCCGTCTGTTGACACCTAACCTTTTACTCTCCCCATAAAGTTTTACTCTCATCTTTCTTCGGCTAATCACTGCTGCCAGTTAATGCACTGAATCCCTCGTGGATCTTACCTTTATTTTTGTTCTTTACTCCTTTCCTCCCGGGCCATGTCGCCATTCTCTTGTTTTATCCCCTGTAGAGTCATCTCTTTTCTTCTGCGTTCCTCAGCAGAGGTTTTCTTGGTTTTGACACCATTCCTTTTACATTTCCCATTTGGGTCTTGCTTTCTCTTTTAACTTTTGGCTTTGACGTCGTCTCTTTCCTTTTCCTTTTCCAGCAGTAGTTCCCCGAACTACGTAGGCTCTGATTTCCTCATTGCACTATGAGGGTACGTAGGCACAAGATTGTGAAATCTTGGTGAGCCACCTTCCTCCGTCTTCTTCCATTCTTCTATCTCTCTGGTCCGTCCAGATCCTCTTCTTTCTTTTTCTGGGTTCCTTGAACTACGGAGCTCTGACTTCCTCATTGCACTATGAGGGTACGTAGGCACGAGGGCCCCAATCCTCCTCGAGCACTTTCTTTTCTTTCTTTCTTTCCTTTCTTTTTTCTTTCTTTTTTTTCCTTCTTCTTTTAGCTAGAAGCCTTTAGATAGATAACTCATCCAAGCTTAGAAGTAAGCTAAATGGTTCCTGTCGGGTACGACGGATGCTTAAGGTGCTAGTACCTTCCCGTCGAGATTCATAAGAACACCCACAATACTTTAGCACTATATAAAAGATGCAAAAATGCTATTCCTACACCTACACCGTATTTCATTGTTCATTTATACGTGAACAGTAAAATATAATAATTATATTTTATTTTAAAAATAAAAAATTATATATATATATATATATATATATATATATATATATATATATATATATATATATATATATATATATATATATATATATATATATATATATATATATATATATATATATATATATATATATATATATATATATATATATATATATATATATATATATATATATATATATATATATATATATATATATATATATATATATATATATATATATATATATATATATATATATATATATATATATATATATATATATTAAATGATATTGACATAAAAGTGTGTGATTAACCAACTTCATAACTTTATTAACCAACTTTATACATTGTATTAACCAACTTCATTGACTGATAAAAATTATTCTTAATATCTGGACGCGTATTAACTAACTTTTTACATTTCATTAATCAATTTTGATTTATTACTAAAAATTATTTTTAACATCTCGACATTTATTAAGCACTTCATCACTTCGTTAACCAACTTTTTGCATTTTATTAACCAACTTTATTTCACTTACTGTTTATGTATTATAAATATTATTTTTTTTACTAAAAAATAAAAACATTGTTCACCGTGTAAATACGATGAACGGTGTTTAGTATAAATATTTAATGTAAGAAATTGGTGTAAAAATATGATAGCTCATAAAAGGTGTGACCAATAGAGTATTCAGATAAGGCCCAAACCATTAGTATGATGAGTTTTGTGACATATTTTTTTTTTGCCCATAATATTTTGAAACTATTTTGTATGATGTTATAAAATTAAAATTATTTAAAAAAGTAAAAAAGAAGTTAGGGCTTGTGGGTCAACTTTAGTCCACATACTATAAAGACTTATTTGATTGAAGCATTTTGACCCTTTAATTTAATTAGAGGGTGTGAAATAACATTAAAAATAAAGAAATATAGATTGCAACTAAAGTAATGGAAAGAGGGTAACATGGAAAGTTGAATATTTTGGTTTTCAAACAGAAAAATAAGAATTAAAAAACAAAAGATGTGATACTTCTAATTCAAAGCAAAGTTACTTAGATAAACAGACAAAAATATTCACAAAATATAATAAAATCATAATTCATTTTCTGCTATTTATTTATTTATTTAAAGTAAGCTTAGTACCAGATTTAGATTCTCACATTAATAACAACCATGTTTCTTAACTAAGTTATTTTACACATTCAACTTTTTTTTTTCTTTTCATTTTCATATGAAACAAAATTGGAAGGGAATATTTTCAAGAAATGTTTACATGGAACAACTCTAAACTACCCAAGTTAATATTTAATTTAAAAAAAAAAGTTAAATAAAAATTACACTTTGAAATTAAAGAAAAATTATTTTCCACATGATTTATCATCATACAACAGTAGCTATGCCACTGTATCTTTGTCTTGTTCTATCAGTCTCAGAAGAAAGTCCTTGTTGTTCCATACTCTTTCTCTTGTTATTATTATTGTTTTGTTGTAGTGATTGTTGCTGTTGATCAATAGTTGAATGTGCTTGTAACTGTGATTCAGATTCTGATTCTGAACGTGAATATTGAGATTTTGGTGCTTCTTGTTGCAGAAGAATTTCTGAGTTTTCAATCTTTTCTTCTGTTTCATTTCTTGGATCTTTCAATTTGTTTTTCTTCATGTGAGGTTTAAGCCTATTCAAATCTGATAGCCTCACAGGCTTCAAGAAAAATTCTTCTGCTCCTTCCTCTAAGCATCTGTTACAATAATTTTCACAGATTCATCAGAACTTTAGTTATGAAAAAATTATAGAAAATATTTATCAGTCTGATATCTGATGTCTCTGCTCATTTATCAACTGAACTAATTTAATGCGATTATTAATAAAAAATTTAGTTATGAAAAAATTAAAATGTTCAAAGTTAAAAAAAAATAGAAATATATTGAAAAAAAAATGTAATGAGATTTTTGTTACCTATTAATCCTTGAAGGCACATTTTCAGATGACATAATCACTACTGGTATGTTTCTCAATGAAGATGATTCCTGAAATATCACAGAAAGAATCCAACAAAATTGTAAGTGTTTGGTTTCAGGTGGAATAAGTGTTGAAGAGAATTTTTCAAATATTCTCAAACAGTTTCTTCATTCAAAACAAATCTAGTCACTATTTACTAAAAATAGATCCTTTTTAAAAACACAATCTTTTGATGACTTATAGAACCTGATTTGTTTTGGGTGGAAAACTGAAAAAGCATTCAAAAGAAAAATATTCCAAAACCAATAAAACTACCCCAAGTTAACAACTTTCAACAACAAAAAAAGTTACCAAATTATTATGAATGCATAATTTTAATTTTTTTTTGTTGTCATAATTATCGCGTTCGCGAAATTCTTATAAGTAAATTCTAATCGATGATTGTATAGAAGATGAATAAAAACCAAATAGTACCTTGATTTTCTTAAGCAAATCATAGCCTGTCATGCCCGGCATACAATAATCTGTTATAACAAGATTAACTTCCACTTCCTGTAATAAAACAAAAATTCAAGAAATTTTAGTATAAAAAACAAAACAAACTAGTATCTCTGGTCATTGATATAAGTGTATCTGAATTATACACAGATTATTCAATGAATCTAAAAAGTAAATTTTTTCTTTTCAGACATTTTTTGAGCTGAACAAGAAAGCATACCTGATGATTGTTAGGAAAGACAGGTGGTGTATTTGGGTTAGTGTGATGGTTCTGATCATGTTCACATAGACCTAAGAACTCTAAAGCCTTGCTACCAGAATCAACTGTAGTAACTGTGATTCAGAAAAGAGAAACTTCATTAATAAAACAACATTAGCATGTTATGTTACATAGTAGTTGGTTGGTTTTTGAGATTGATTACCTTGATAAGAAGAGGTTTTGAGGAGTCTTTCAATGAGTTTTCTATCTATGATACTATCATCAACAGCCAAAACATGAAACTGTGATTCTGTTGCAGCCATACCCATTTTGGAAGATAAATGGATAGAAATAGAAAAAAGGGTAATGGAAGTAAGATGGTTTATGTGTTTGTTTATGAGAGGAAGATGAGATTGAAAGATGAGCTTTGTAGAGAAATAAGACCCACCAAAATCCACATCCCACAAAGCAAGATCCGACCAGATTTCATCCAAAATCTTGAAAATTTTCTAAAATTGATCTTGAATTACATGCCAAGCAATGCAAAATAATTATAACTTATATAATATGAATATGAATGAATTAAATAATCAAGTGAATATTTTTATAGGATGTTGAGAGTCGTGAGTGGTGAGCATTATTTATATATATAAATATAAAGTCTAAATGTTAGGGTGAAAAAATTATAAAGTTTAGGTGAAAATTAGAGATCTCTTTCGATTTAATCAGGGTTCATATTTCATATGTGTAAACGTTAAAATTTTCTTGAGAAAGATTTATACTTCATTGTGATTTTTCGATTTTAAAAATTCATTTTTGCAGTTACGTGCAGAGAATAATCGATTTAAATTTGTAAAAATAAATAAAAAAGCAAAAGTGAAAGAGAGAGAAAGTGAAAGGGTGTAAGTGGGGTCCAAGAAAATCGTTTGAAGAGATACAGGTGATGTAAGCAATGTGGCCTTAGGTGTGAAATCATGTGGAGCTTACCATATCTTAGGCAGGTGGGGAAGAGTGGTGTCAAAGAGAGGCCAATTTCTTTTGATTCTCTTTTGAGATTTGCTTCCCATGCCCATGACCCATAACCAACCATCCATGTATGGTGTCATCATTCATGCATGTTTCATGCCATCAAAATTCATATATCCACTTATTTTTTCCACTAACCTTATGGGGGGTCATGCTCTTTTAACTTATGGTCGACTTCATCATGTCCATTTCTCATCTTTGATTCTTTTCAAAAAGGAAAAAGAAAAAAGTCTTCCTAACATTGATTTTTGAAATTTTGTGTTTGTTATTTATTATGTGCTTGAATAACTCTTGTTTTTCTTCTTTCAAACAAGTAATGATTTATTGTCTTGTCTCTATTTCTTTTGATTATTTAAATATTGAAAAAAATATCATCAATTTAGTTTTTAAAGGATTGTCTATTTTTCAATATTGTTAAAGTTTATAAGTATAAGAAGATATTGTTTAATAAAAAATTAGTAAATTGTTGATAAATATGTCTTGTCATGCATAGTTGTAATTTAGAATTAGAATAGTTGAAAAATCAGTGAGATATGATACATCGTAAAAATGTGCATTGAATTTTTAATATAATGGTGTAAAGGGGAATTTGCAAATTATCGTTTCAATATTTAAGTCAGAAAAAAAAGTGATGTAAGAATAAATATGAATATAAATATTTGAAAATGACACACTTTTTCCTTTATTATTGAGAGGTTCAAATTTTATACAAGAAATTCAACGAGTTTTATGACAACTATTCTATTAATCGGTGAATGATTTATTAAGAAGAAGAATTGAAAAACACATGATTTCCATGTTTGTTTCTTTTACTCTACCTTGGACCTTTCATGTTGGATTTTGTGGACAATGCTAAATTGATTTAGTTAGTAATATCAAAATGTGAAAGATTAAATTAAATTTTAAACTTTTATCTATTTAATAATTTATTTACACTAATATATAAATATAAATAAAATTTGTTTTCTAAAATGGAATTTAGATCAATTGTTTACACTCATTTAATTTATAAAAAGAAAAGTAAAAAATAGAGTAATATTTTAGAGATTGAAATTTATTATTATTGTTGAATGTTAGTGGAACATAGCAAATTGCATGATGTAACTGTGGTCTACCACAGTCAAAGGACTCAATGACCTTCCACAACTCATGGGTTGAATTAAGTAGAAATCTATTTAACACACACTTTAGAAATATATATGATGTTTACAAATTAAAATACAAGTATCTAGTATTTAAATATGTTTCTCTATTTTTGCACCTTCTTTTTTACAAGTTATAAGTTTCAAAAATACTATATTTGACAATAAAATTTTGAGGTTCAAGAATAATTTCCTTTATAAAAATAGTTGACAATTGTTTGTTATACACTATTATAAAAGAGGGTATAAATTTGAAATCTATTGAAGTATTTTTGATAGTGAGAATCAAACTCAAAAGAGAAAACATAGGACATATATGAGAAAATGAAAAAGTGAAAAATGCACTAATTAGTGGTCCAATATTTACCAAAGTCTTCTAGTGTCTTTTCTCTCTTTTTATTTTCTCCCATCAATTATGCAATTTTGTTTTACTTTCCCTAATTCATGTCAATTTTTCAATCTAAGTGTCAAATGTTCATACCAATTTTTTATTATATTCAACTTGGATATATGTAGAATATTCATCATTCATCTATTTGACTCTTGAAGAATGGCCCCTTAGCTCATGTGTATTTATTTTATACAACAAAGATTGAGAAATGATTTACATATTTTAATTATATATATATATATATATATATATATATATATATATATATATATATATATATATATATATATATATATATATATATATATATATATATATATATATATATATATATATATATATATATATATATATATATATATATATATATATATATATATATATATATATATATATATATATATATATATATATATATATATATATATATATATATATATATATATATATATATATATATATATATATATCAACAACCATTTTTCTGAATTTTAAAGTGAATTTAAAATTTCTCTCTTATAATTTCTCTCTTATAATTTTCTCTCTTATAGATATTTTGTATTGCGTTTTATGAGGAAAATTATTCTTTCTAGTCAACTTGAGATTCCAGTCCTGGTATGGATCAATTCATTATATAAGTTATATGATTCATATTGATAATTATCCGATACTTCATTTGAGTAATTAGTTTTAAACTTAAATCTTATTTGATCTGTTATATTATGTAGTATTATGATGAATTCAAGTGCGCTACTTACACGAAAGCAAAATTGGAAGAAATTAAAGAGGAATGGTGTCAATTTATTCTTGGGTTGAGAATTGTATAGAGTTATCGGATTGGAAGACTTGTAATTATATGTGAATTGAATGTATTTGTGTTGTTGTAATTCTGAGGATCGAATTTTGTTGTAACATATTTAAACAGGTTTATGTGTATATTAAAATGTTTATGAACAAAGTCATGAGTTACAATGTATCCAAAGTTTTGAATTGTACATATAAGGACAAAGTTTGAATTGTATATTTAAGGCCAAAGTTTGAATTTTATTTATAAGGCCAAAGTGCTGAAATAAAGGCCTGAATTATAAGCAGTTTTGTGTAATATAAGCAGGTTGTTGGTAAAATATACAAAACAGGGTGAATATTTTATAAAAAAAAAATTTTAAAATCTGGGACATTAGACAGCGCTTTTACATAAAAGCGCTGCTAAAGGTCACAAATATTACGCTACAAAAGCGATGCTATTGGTTTGGAAGGGGGGGGTCTAAGGCAGCGCTTGTAAAAAGCGCTACTAAAGGGTGGGCTATGGCAGCGCTTTTGCAAAAGCGCTGCTAAAGGGGGATCTAAGACAGCGCTTTTTGAAAGCGCTGCTAAAGGGGAGATGGTTGGGGGAATTATGCAGCGCTTACAAAAGCGCTGCTAAAGGTGCTGCTGAAGGGAGCTTTTAGCAGCGCTTTTTCATTGAAAAAAAGCGCTGCTTTTACCTTTAGCAGCGCCACTTTTGGCAGCGCTTTAAAGCGCTGCTAAAGGTTTTTTTTAGCATAGTGTGATCAGAATAAAATAGAAATAAGATATAGATAATAATCAAATATGATATAAACAAGATTAAAACTTATTGATGTACATAGTAGGATAATATTATTTCATAATATTATGTTTTTGCTACAGACCACTAGTTAAATTATAATAAAATTGACTTTATGACAAAACTTAAAAACAAATTATATTAAATTAGTTTAAAAAATTGTCATTCAAATTTTTTATAGGATAATAATAATAATTAATATTTAAATATTCTATTTTTTCTAAATTAATCATTATTATTTTTATTATTTAATTTAATATCAAATTATTTTTGTTTACTTATTATTCTTATTTTATTAATTTAGTATTAGATTTTATAAGAATATATAAATAATTTATTTTTTATTATGTCTTGTTGGTTTTTAATTTCACTCATCCTCAAAATAAAAAATTTAATCAAAGAAATAAATTTAAAAGAAAAGCTTCTAATATCAATTTACTTTATAATACTAATTAAAAAATCTCAAGTTTGATATAGGTCAGACATATAATTTAAAAATACTTACGTGGAAAGACACCTTATTTAATCAGCTACGTTTTGAAAGATATAAATTATGTTAAATTCTAATTTTAATATAGTATCGAAGTTTATTGATCAAATCATGAATGTTTATTATTTATATTGACACATCAAACCTCATAGTGTTATAGTGCTCAATAAAGATGATAAAACGGACCATCTTTTCCGTCTCACCTCGTTCCGCCTTAAATTCGCAAAAATAAGGATAAGGCAGAAAAACCTGTCAAGTAAAATTGAGTTAAAAAATTTAATTCGTCCCACCAAGACAACGGATTGATGGACGACAAACTTGTCTGTCTATTTATTTAGTTTTTTATTTTTTATTTTTTTAATTGATTAATAATTTTATTTTTATATTTCAATGAGATTTTTTTTAGTTTGTGTATATTATATAGATTAAGAATAATTGACATTCATATAATCATATTTTATTTAAATTTTAAGATCATTTTGACCGACAGTTATATAAAATTTTAAAAAACAAAATGTAATAACCTAACAAATAAATAACAAGAACAAAATACCAACAACCATTATAAAATCAGTTGAGTGAAACCAAGTCATGTTTGTATTCATTGTTAGAGAAAATAAAGGCAAGATTTGAATGAGGAGGAGAGGGTCCTCCTTTCAATTTAGCTTAAAGCCATGACCAAACAACATCTTCAC